GGATCGGGAGTGAGAGTCCGTGCCACACTAGTGGGGCTAACCCTGTTCATGCTGTTGAGTTCTGAGTCGAGTTGGCAAAGAGTCGAGTTGACCAAGCTCCCATGCAGCCAACAATGTCAGTGGCAATGAATGAAGTTATCCCTGTGACACGCATAAAAAGCATTGTGCCAACCAAACCTATTCATCTGGTCGGGGACCAAACCACAATCTAGCAACGTCCCTAGTTTCTGCTTATGTCATGTTTGCAAGCAGCAATGACGTCATTTTTATCAAGTCAGGTAATAGTGATGTAATTTTCTTGTGCGATTTTGAGAAAATAGCAAGATTTGAAATGCTGGCAGCCAACATGGCCGCTGTTGCCGTGACTGTCGGAGTCTATGGCAAAATTGTTTCCGGTTGCTATTTTGGAAAATCGCCACGGTAAACATAAAATTTGCCACAGTGAATCGATGGAGAATTTTAGTGGCAACATTTTCATGCATGAAGTAAACTTTGGCAAAGCTTTATTTTTTTCGTGGAAATGTTTTCATCGGCAGAATTGGACTCGCCTGCCCACCGAATTTGACATATCCAGTGCAAGATTCGACCAAAAAACCTCCTCGATCCACTTTTTTAGATAACAAGTGAAAGGAAAGTTCCATTTAGATCTTGGGTAGCATGTTTCCTGTAAATTGAATCAATCGGAGCAATTTGTATTGAAGTTTTTGGCCGATAAAGAGATCGGTGTCATAGGTGAACTATGATCTAAAAATAGTTCAAAAATTATGTCATCGTTGCTCAAACGAGCTGCGTATGCATAGTCTGGCGTCGTCGCTAGATTGTTGTTTGGTCCCGGACCTGTTCACTTGACACAACAGCCTTACATGTAGTCATGCAGTCGTGAAGTGCAGGCATTGGCACTCATGTTTGACAAGTCTAAACTTTTGGTCATGCTATTTAGCATCAACAAGCGTCGACACAGACAAGTAGTTTCAACAGAGCGTCAACAACTTGAAAATGTCCTCTAAAGATTTCAAAGTGGTTTTATCATATTTTACAGACTCCAATATATTCCACTGTGTAAGAAAAACGGGAAATTTTCATTAAGATTCACACAGGAGAATGAAAATTTTTCACTGTGTGTGGGAGCTGCCATCTTTCTTTTACTCTACTGAGCGAAAACAAGATGGCGGCTAGTTGGGCTGCACAAGCAGAATCAATTCTGTTGCTAAAATTTCCATCATTTTGTGTAAATGTGATATCTTGAATGTGATATGCAGAAGCCAAATTAATATTATAAATATTTTTCTTTTGCATAAATATGCTTGAATAACTTGTTGACGCCAAATAGTATGACTCCAATCTCCCAGTGTTCCAGAATTTCTTTTACTAGTTTAGAGCGCACAAGTATTGCTGGCCAAATTATGTGCATACAAAATGTGCAATATCCCACA